CTTACTACGCCAAGTTTACTTTCCTTATTAAAAAATTAAGTTACATATGTGGCTATGATCATCATTAGGTAACGTGATTATCAAATTCCCGTAATCAATATCAGGGGGGTGTATTTAGCAAATATGTAAAATTTATTCAAGATCTGCTAGAATGAAAGCAAATATGTAAATATTAATTTTGAGCATCTCTAATCGGATATTAGGATTCTCTAATTCGGATAATTAGGATTCTCGAGTTAGGTCGGGTTGATGTTTAATCTGAACCTAAGATTTGGAAAGTACGTACGTACGTACGCACGTGCTAAAATTATCTGTTAAAATTTAAATCTTGAAAATTTTTTTATATTGAATTACAATTAGCTAATGTTACCATAAATTTAAGATCTTTGTACCAACATACAACTGTGAAGTCTCTAGAATAGGACATAGTCATAACATAATGTCTAGTTGAATTGCTAATACACAATTCATAGCCATATTTAATGTAATAACTTAGGCGCGGCTTTTTATATATTCGCGTCAAGAAACGGAAAATTCTAATACCCTTCATGAAGCAAATCCAGAAAGCTTTCTGTAAGACTCACAAAACATATACCTTTAATTTACGTTCCAAATTGCTAACATGCTTCCTTAAATGTTGCATTCTTACCCGAAGTTTATATAATCAAGGTTAACGTTAACGTCAATATAATATACACTTTTATTCATATTTAGTTTACATTTAAAGTATAAAAACACTACTTTTAGGTATACATTGTCGCAAATTATAATTAAAATAAAATTTGAGGTTTCTATTAATCTCCTAAAACCCACTTATACTTGTTTACTGCAAATTCTACCCTAAAGCCGACTCCTAACTCTAAAAAAAGCTAAAGAAATGCATCCCAAAATTTTGTATTTTTTCGGTGGCTTGTCTATTTTACTTAATACAAAATTTCATTTAATCTACCATAATTCTTAAGTAACACTAGATTTAATGTATCTCGCCACGAATAGAATATTTTTACAGTCCGTATTCATCTTGCTTGTAGGAACTAGTTTTGTTTCAATTTTGCGCGCATACTTAGACTGACAAGAAAATTCCATTAATCAATATACTTTAAAGTCATCTGTTATTACTTCTACAACGACGTATTTTTGTTCGACTTGAGATGTATTTGAAATGAGGTTATTTTGAAGTTGTTTAGAAGGGGTTTTAGTTCTTCGTGATTTTTTTTTATTTTTTCTCGAAGTTTTATTACCCTTTTTCTTATTCTTATTATGGTTATTTTTCACAACCAAGTCGGCGCACTAGAATCAAAAAAAAAAAAAAAAAAAAAAAAAAAAAAAAAATGTAAAAAAAAAAAAAATTTACTTAAAAACCAAAAGCGAAAAAAGAAAAAATTGTACCGATTTAAATCTCCAAGTTTTTGAACGAATAGATGTTCTGTAATGTACCATAACTGCCATACGAACAGAGGGACCCCAGTACCAACTGTTCGCAGTAGTTTTAAACGGCTCAAACTTCTTCTCATTAATAGCCTTGAACTTTTTAGGCAAGAAACTATGACTCACATCAAACGCGAAAAATTTATTTTTGTGAATATGATCACAAGTAGAATGCATATGAGCGGTGAATTTGTACAAATGTGGGTTGTTCAACTTTATTCCTCGAACAAATTGTCCAGATATTTGAGTTCCACTATCTTTCATGTCGTCATACAGAGAGAAACTACCTTTTAGTTTTGGATCATTGAACTTTATGTTTGCTGTCACTGGATTTTTTACAGTCCAAAGATACTCGTTGCATGCTGTGCAATTTGGTTCTTCTGCTAGGGCAGAACAGAAGATAGTACACATCATTATCGAAATCACAAAAAATATCGAGTGAATCATTGCTTATGAATATTTAAGCTTAATTTCGATTTCTTACTATTGTTCAAGTAGCTATTGACATAGGGAATCTCTAATGATTGTTTTTTTTTTGTTTTTGTTCATTCACACATTTATTTATATCTATCCGAAACAATATAATCTACCATTATAGTCTATCATAAATGACTACAAAATAGCAAATAATTTTATTTTATCTGATTCGCACTAATTCAAAAAATTTTGACGATGATTTAATCCATATTTCGTTATAAAATCATATCCTTAAATAGTAATTAATCTAATGATGTTTCCAAAATAAATTCATACACACTTTAATTTCAACCTGGTTGGTGTTTTTTTACCCGCTTATGTTTTAAAATTTAGTGGATAATGCAAATTTTTCTATTAAAGTTTAGAATTAATTTTTACATATATGCATACATTTTTAAGATAAAAACTCGGATGTCCAAAAATAAAGCGCTTGATCTTTGGATATCTATCAAATTTTATATCGTATTTAAAAATAGTAAAGCTCATTTACT